TCCTTAGAAGATTCGCTTGATGACATAAGTGGGGCTTTAGACGGTTCTGGACTTCCCCCTAAGCAGAAAATCCTGAAAGCCATTTGCCTTTTTGCGCTTTATTGTTGAACTTTCAGTGGAAGAAGAAGGAATTTGTCGTACAGTTCACAACAGCTGAAGACAGGAACTATCGCCAATCGGTGCAGGGGGCCCTGACTGCTGGACTTTCGTGAGTTTGACATATCTTGTAGGATGATACTAACACAAGAAGAAACAAACAATCTAGTATAAGAAGTAATAGATGTAAAATAGTGTACGCATATGCCCTATTCTTGTACCCTCTATGACTTTAACGGCATTTGCATTATGCTTGGAAAAGAAGAGTACAGGGCAAACAGGTCTTCGCAATAGCAACTCTACTTGCCAACCGCCCCGTGCACACCGCACACACATCACATCATCATCGTCGATTCGCTCGGCTATAAATGTTGATTTCTGTCTGTATTTGTTGCGCCAATTGCTGCACTGCCCTCAGGAATATGAAATCGTATCCTGATAATTGGCAGGAGTTCTGGACGAAACCCGAGGGCGCCAACCTCGCAAGCCTCCTCTGGTCCAACAGCACCAACATTGGCTGCGCCGTTGGAATATGCACTGAAGGCACACAGGAAAACCGAAATACAACAAAAAGCGCATATCTTTTTTGTCAGATGGACCCTCCAGCGGAGGAGAACAAGGCTCCTTTTGAGTAAGTCTCAAGTTGGCGGTTTCTTCTCAGGAAGACAGGTCTACAATGCATCGCCTTTGAACTAGACTGTATGCTTTCTCATGTCCTGGTTTTGTGTTGCAGCAAGGAGTATTACGAAGCGCTCAAAGAACGAAAAGCATTACTGACAGCAATGACTGAGGAAGACCTCAAAGCTCCTGTCCAGGGCGCTGCAGCTGCCGCCGTGCCCTCCCTTCTTGTAGCAGGCCTAACTGCTATAGTGGCATTTGCCTCTGCATAGAGAAGCTAGACAATGAGCTAGCCTCCGATTGTTAAGTTCATTGTCGAGTTCGCTGTTCGCTGCAAGTTGGATAAAAAACTGCAACCGCCGTATGAGGGGGGAAGGACTCGCAGTGTAAAGCCTAGACTCTGACTTTCCCCAAGGTCTTTGTTACCTTTCACTGCGTCGGGTCTGTTGCTTGGAACAGTTACAGTTTGGCTGTCCATCCAGCAATGGAAGCTTCACAGCCTGAAGCTAGCAAGCGTGGATTGGTTGACAAAGTGCTCTGTAGACTAGCTAACAAGGAAACGGGATGGCTATCTAGGCAGCTAACGGAAGTTTGCCTTTGTAGGCAGAGACGACTGTCAGCATAGAAACCAAAACTGCAATTAGAATGGTGGGGACGGCAGCTGCTTGCGCGCCACCTCCAACAGGAGTCTGCAGGTCGTCTGCTGTCATATCTTTCAGTGCAATTGTTCGTGCAATAATTCCGCTGAAATACTCCTCACTGCAGGAAAGGAAATGAAGCAGACAAACGCTCAGCGTCAAAAAGTACGTCACCAGCTTTGTTGGTTATTGCTTCTAGACAAGCTTGCCAATCCTTCCTGGGGGCTGCGCTCCGAAACCCAATACTTACATACCTAAAGGGGGCCTCATCCTTCGTCGTTGCAGGGCTTAGTTTACAGAAAAACACAGCCTCATTTGTTACAGTTTCAGTTTGCCCGTGTGGATCGCTCCTGCCTGTTTGATCTGGTTGCGGATCAGTCTCAGGTGTTACTGCC